AGAAATTTGGCGACTAAACTTACTATAGGGCGCTCAACATTCTAATCGAAACCTTACTTTTCAACTCGTTTTTTGTCCTCAGAGGGTTGAAATGCAAGGTATTTTTTTAAGGGTGCTAAAATGTTTTTTGGATATAAAAAACGGAACATGGTAATTAATTCTAAGACAGACTGATTTTGACCGTTCAAAAATTCTGGATAAACAAAATATATTAAGGAATGAGCGAGGTGCAGTTAATTTTTCAATAATTTTAGTAAAATATTCTGCAAAATTATAGTTTTCGTCCAACTCTACTGCGTCAAAAAGTTTTTGTCTATGACGTAAGGTCGAAATGCTGAGAAGTTTCTAGAAAAACTTCTTTCTGCTAATGCAATGTGCTGCAGTCTTTTTGCTAATACGATGCTAAAAGCAGTTTTTATAACTTTGCAAATGAAGTTAAGTGCTCTTTGCAGGTATTTATGAAGTTTTTATTCAATCATTCTAGACACACTTGAAGTTTGAGAGAACTTGTTTGATCACAAACATTTTGGTGGATGGACAAAGCTAAATTTCTTTTGAAAAATGGACTTCAAAAGCTTTGATGGATATGTCATTTGATAGTAGTAGAGCAAACATCAATCATAATCTCTTTTTAATCCTTATGGATAATCACTTAGGCGAAAAACTTTAATTCCTGTTTGATTCTCGTTTGGAGAACTTCTTCATGCCTTTGTAGTCATTCGATTCAATTGTTAGACTATGAGCTACGACATTTGGATTTAGATTTTTTTTACTACGAAGGAGAAGAGGGTGAAATGCGCAGAAGGGAGTAGGACGGAAGTAAGGGCTGTATCTTAAGCTAGTAGGGTATCCCTTGAGTCGCAAATTAATCGTTAAATTCATCCAAAGACACTGCCACAAAAGGTCTAAAACTAATTTTAAACGTTTTAGGTTAGGGTTTAACCCTTTAACGACATGTTTCTAGGCCAAAACGTGAAATTTTCAGGCTATACACCCCATGGAGCTCGATCACGAGTCGAAATGGCCATATTCAACGAATTCTTCTCCTATTCAAATCGAGATCCAATTATGGTATTTCCATTTATTGTGGCTAAAGATGGTGGATCAATGGCTCGAGTTGAACATCTGAGAGAGGCAATACAACAGTTGGACTATGCCGGCACAAATATTACCCATCGTGGTCAATCATTCTTCTCACTTTGCACGGATTTTTGCCAAGTTAACGAACCAATTCGACAGTTCTATGTAAGCACCTATCTAGAACTTATTGTTTTCTTTTTACAAAGAAAAAAATTCAAGTTTCAAATTTAATTAAAATGCAGATAAGCTCTCTCCTAAACAGAGTTTTCGCTGCTGCAAACAAATCAAATAGGAGGAAACCACTTTGAATTCGATGAAGGTCATTTGGTATGCGTGTGTGTACTTACACAAATACACATCCTCTTGCAAACAGACACACATAGAAAACCCGTCTATGAAAGGGCATCCAGCGAAATAGTCGAATAGTCCAAGTCTAAACCAAAGGAGAGGGAGAGTCGAGAGAGTTTTTTTTTCTCAAAGAGTCAAACATCCGTAATAAAACACGTAAACATTTTTTTCCAACAGAGATCTTCTAAATGCTTTCTTTAGAAAAATAGAAGAAAAAATTTGGCATCGAAGATGATGAGAAAAAAAGCAACCTGTTTTGTCACATTAATTAGGCAAAATGATTTATTGGCTATATTGTATCTCTTCACTTTTTTTTAAAAGTAGCGTCAAGGTAATAAGAATGTGGGCTGGCATTCTACAAAAAAATATAGACATTCTCTACAAAGCCCCCTATCTCCTCTCTAAATTAAAGGATATTTTATTGAAAGTATTTTGACGCTTATGGCAGATTCTAAATAAAGTTTTTATTGGCCATTTGCTAAGTAGAAAGCTGATCAAAGTTTCTACGAATGTTCCGTTAAAATTAACACAGAG